AAAAAGGTGGAGAAGTACCAAGTTAAGGGGACAGGAAGGGGACTGTCGTTATGGTGGTTGATTATGGCTCAGTAAAGTGATGTATGATTGCATGACTTGGAAAATAAAGTCAAAGAGGAGACAACCTAGTCTAACAGGCAGGTGTACAAGTCCTTGAAATTACATTAAACTATCTTTCTCCTTTTTTAGAGATCATGCATGATGTGATAAAGAAGGTCAAGAAGAAGGGGGAGTGGAAGGTAAGTAGAAGAGGGCAATTACTGGACTTGAAGGTACGTCCATGTTGAAAAAAATAAGAAGGAGATAGAGCTGAAGGAAGGATGTGAAGCCGGAATGAGGGCTTTTGCTATGTCAGAGAGTACAAAACACTCCTGGACTGGAGAAATGTGATCTGCTCTGCCACACATTTTATATGGTTTTAGTTAAGAAGTCCCTTGGTCATAAAGCTTAAAAGCTTATTTTAAAGATCATTTGGTAAGACAGTTAGCAGTGGAACTCTTATTCAAATTAAATCTTACCTGGGTGGACTGGGCGTGGAGGCTCATGCCTGTAATCCCGAGACCGAGGCGGGTGGATCACCTCAGCTCATGAGTTTGAGACCAGCCTGTGTAAGAGTGAAGCTTCATCTCTAAAAAATAGCTGGATGTTGTGGCGGGCTCCTGTAGTCCCAGCTACTTGGGAGGCTGAGGCAAGAGAATCGCTTAAGCCCAAGAGTTGGAGGTTGCTGTGAGCTATGACCCTATGGCACTCTACTGGGGGCAAGAAAGTGAGACTCTGTCTCAAAAAAAAAACCAAAAAAAAACCTTAGGAGCCTATTAGATAAAGCAGAGAAGATATACTTATTTTGCTTGTCATGAGAGAGGAAGAAGAAACCCTTCTTGACCATAAGGCATCTCTGTGGAGCCCATGTAATGGTTTAAAAAGCCCTCATCTAGTCTGTCCATCTGTCTGTGACTATGTGAGACAAAACCAGTAAGCTTGCTTGTTCATAGTGCTAGAAACTGTAATGTACA